GCAAACAAGCCAAAAGTTTCCTCCCAAATATACACATCTGCCTAAGAGAGCTGGACATAGGTCCTTCAGAGATAACACAAACACTGTCATGCCATTCCTCAGCTAACAAGCCTGGTGGCACCCCAAGACTGCATATCAGGAAAACATATAAACAAAGGTGAGACCAAGATGGAGCAGTGAAGCAAGAAATCCCCCAACCAGCATAGGTTTTAAGGGATAATGACAACATGACCCTCCAAGAAGATGGTCTACGTCGGATCAACGCTAAGGCTATTTGCCTAGCCACATAAATTCAGGGTATCACTGGCTCCTTAGCAGAGAGGACAGAGGTAGCCATCAGAACATCCTCCATTCTGGAGTCAGAGACTCACTGAGTTAGATACCTGCCTCTGCTGTGACACCTTGGCCTCCTGAATTTATCTCATGAAACTTCATCTCTAAAATGGGAATAATTTTAGCTTCCTCACAGGACTTTTGGTGTGTACATGAGATAAAAGAATCAGGCACTTATCAGAAGACCTAGAACACAGTGGGTGCTCAAAATTTTATTATAACAAAATCATTATTTTGATAAATTACTAATTCTATTACCATACCACACACTAGGCTGTGCAGTCATTCTCATTAGTGAAGGTAAGTTGGTCATTCTCAGTAAGTCCTTTTGTCTTCTCCATAAAGTTGCTAATTCCAGGACCTTTTCATGAATCAATAGAAAAATTAAAGTAAGTATATTCTGTCTAAATCGTACAATCATCCCATGGGGACCCTCAATGTGTAGAATCACATAAGTAGCTTCTTTACAGAATGCTATCTCAACAAGGCTTAGCTCTGAGTGGAAATTCCAACTGATAAATAAGTACTGGTCCAAGTGGCTGAACCCTCAAATAGATTAGGGACAACATAGTTGGAATAACGCAAATGACCTCTGTTAATTACCCTTAGCAAAGATCATCTTACTCTTCAAATACAATATAATACAAGGGATTGGACCATTTCTGGGGCTAGGATCACTATTCAGGTTTCTTGAGCCACAGGGTTTTATCTTACTTTGAATACAGTATTTATTTCAGTCTACTTATCTGACATAATATTTTTTAAAGAAATGAAGGTAACAGGTTTATGAGCATTGCCTTTATCAACCAGCATATAATTCCAGCTTAGATTCTCTTAAATCTAAGCCACGTATTACGAATAAGTACTCCCTCCTGTCACATGCAATGGCTTGTGTGCATCAGAGTTATTTGTAAGTTAATATATATTAAAATCACATATGCCCACACACATCACGTCTGTGCATCAGGGGACCTCAAGAGATAATACATCCATCTTCATTTGTGACGGTGTATGCACCCATAGTTCATAAATGGTGATAAATGAATTGTCATATGTCCCAATGGTATAATACACTTATCCCCTATTCTTGCCATATTAATACATGCTCATTTCAGCACCAGTCAAATCATTAAAATGAGTGATCCAACACTAGCCTCCTATTGGTAACCACAGAAGAATGCTAATTTCACCTCTCAACACCCAGCATAATTTGTTTGGTGTGCAAATAGAGAGAATAGAGGAATCAAAAAGTAATAATAATAATTTCAACTCATTAGGCCTCTTGGATATGCTAAGACAAATTAAGATGGAAAACACTTCCTTGGTTTATACTTCAGTAAATCCAGAAAAGAGAGAGCCTTCGTCTGATCCACTCTAACACACGACCAACACAGAGGGAGGACAAAGAAGGCAGAACTGTTTGGGCTGATGAATGTGCCTGTGAACTGTTTTTAAAGCAGTCTCATTGATGTGTTTATCACTTGAGCATCTGCCTTGTATTAAGTGATTATTCATTAATAATTGTCATCCTTGCCTTGCTTTTTATAGCCAATTCTGCATTTTTCAGGGGCTAATGGTAGTTGGGAATTTAACCCTGCCTGTAGCTTTTTCAAGAGTGTGTGATACCTTTGGGCTATTTCACAGCCCTTCAGCACCTGCACCCAGTGATGTGGGAGATAAAACCGGGGGTCACTGAGTCTCAAGGCTGAAAGAGAAGGTAGAGGTCAAGACTGCAGGCATGGGCAGGTGACTGCCCATCACCTCTCCCCCTTCTCTACCATTCTCTCCACTTCCATCTCTAGCCTTCCAGCCTCACCCTCCCTTCTACCCCTCAAAGCTTTTCAGTCTGTTTGGCTGGCAAAATAATATCAATATCTAGGACTAAAATAAATCACACAAATGGCTAAAATGAGGAGTTGCATTCAAGAGTGAATCTTGTTAACTAGTTCTCACAAAGAAGGATTACTCAGCACTAATTAGTTGTTTACAAATTTTTCTGATCATGCACCCTATGAGTAAAAAAAATTGAAAGCACACACCATATACATCAATAAATTATATATATATATATATAGTATTGTCCTAATACATTGTGTGCATTTAAACAGATAAGAGTAGGGACAGAAATTCTATCTTTTTCTTTTCCTAAGCACCCAACTTGGAAACCACAGACCCATATGAGCCCCCTTTCATGAGCAGCTCCCAGATCCTGAGTGGTTCTGCTTGCCACTTCAGCTGGCATCTTCACGGTGGCATCTTGTGAAGGAGCCCCTTGGACATACTCTTCCTTGGTCAAGAGTTCTACAGATTCTGTAATGCATTTTTTAAAAAATCTTTTGCTTACCTGGGGTTTGCATTTCAAGGCAATGTTCTGGTTTTGGTAAGTATAGGAGCAAAACATACTTAGGAACCAAGAGTCAAACCTTCCCAAATTACATACGCATTAAAAATGAACATTTTCTCAATCACTTCTCTATGTGGGACTAACAGGTGGCCCTGGGAGGCAGCCAGAATCAAGTGGAGGCTTCTGTCAAAACCAAACAAAGAACAGGTGAGGCTTCTCAAAGGGGTGGTCTCCAGGGTCGTTGAACGCACAACTCTCAGAGAAAGGAACGCTAGAGGAAAACATTGAACTGACAAAGTCGGTGATTTATAATCTCTCATTCCCATAAAATGACTCTCGTTATTCTTGGGAGCTTAGACTCTGAAGTGAGCTGTAATGGGCCACTGGGCTAAAAATGAAGTGCAGATTTATTTCTATAATCACCACCAGCCAAACCCTTCCCTGGGAAATAACTAACTTGGCTTTTAAAGTGCTGGGATACCTTTAGAATGCTTGAGATTTATCTTTGGGATTGAGTGCTTGTGTTGCTCTGGGAAATTCTAACTATTTGAGAGGTAGATGCTGCGATCAGCGTCCCAGGGAGTGTTGGAGAGACAACAGAAAAGTAGGGTTCTGCTTTCCTTTCACACTCAGTTCTGAGAAAATTCTTGTGCCTAAGAGATGGTAAGTAAACAGCAATTACAAACACATCAAATATTGGGCTGCGAGACTCCTGATCCAGCTGCTGTCCCAGAGACTGAGTAAGTTCAGCCTCAATGTAAATTTAAATTCTGAAATTGAATTTGACTCATGCTTGCTCCCTGAACTCACAGTTCTTGGCCCCCGACAGGCTGGGAGGTGGGGTGCTTCCCTGGCTGTGCAAAGAGTCACTGGACCTAGCAAATATTCTGATATCATCGTATAGCCACAAATCTCAAGAGTTAAGGTAAAAGATACTTACAAAAAAAGTAAACCAACTAAATAAATAAGAACCACAGGATCCTGAGCATAATTTGAGTTCACGTCACAGTGTGTGTATGTGTGTGTGTGTGTGTGTGTGTGTGTGCGCGTGTGTGTATAAAAAAAATATTGCCCTTGCTCCAGCACACAGGTGATCAGGCAGCCACTGCCATTCTCACTAATGCCTCTCGGCAGATGTCTTAACACATAAGAAGTTCATTTATTGCCTAAATGCATGCAAATGTCCTTTTCCTGACTTCCTTCTGCTTCATCTTTAATGAATCTTCCCAACTCCTGACTTTGTAGAATAGTGAAGGGTACTGAAGGCAGTCTCCGGAACTCAAAACTGCAAATCTCTACTTGTGGAGTTATCATTATATTCAGAGCAGAACCCAAAAATCAAAGAATTTTAGAACTGAAAAGAATATGGAGGAGCACTTACACCCACTTTTTGACAATAAACATTGAAGCCCAGCAGGAAAAAGTCAGTTGCCCAAGGTCATCCAAGCAGTAAGTGGCAGAGTTGGAAGTAAAATCCGGTTCTTCCAGCTCTGCCATGATAACTCCTTAAAATACTTTAAAGCATTAAAGCCCCTGAGGAATGAGAGAAGAAAGATATTTCTTAGCTTTGAATGGGTCAAAGGTCTGAACAGGTCAGAAACTGTTCCCAACATCTAGAGCTTTAGCCCATAACGAGACAGACTGCCAGTATTTGCTCTAAAATGGCCTCTCCTCTCACTGGCCAATTAATTTTTTTAATGATTTATGATGATTCTCAAACAAAATGCTTTTCCTGCAAGAGGAATTAATATGCTGAACTTAAAATATTTGCACTAATTACCAAAGGTCAAAATGGAATTGTGCAGAGACATTAATCAGCGAGCCCAAGAGAATAGGAATACATTGGACAAACAGTGCAAAGCTCGAATCAAAATATTGAGGAAGGTGCACTTTGTTTCCTTTGTTTCCTACGCAACTGCAAACTGGAGCAAGGACATTCTCCCTTAAGTATAGACCATGGAGCCAACGGTGACTAGCAAATAATAAATGTAATACCTAAACCCCTCAATGGCTCTAAGGGCCCTGACAAGAAACTCGGAAGTTAAGGCTCTTCCAGATGGCCCGACCGTCCACGGTTTCTACCACTGTTGTCTTCCTGTCCATCCACCCTGGCCCTCTTCTAATCCCTCAAACCTGCCAGGCCTCTAGAAGTGCCCACTTGCTGCCTCTCCCGCCTTGGAACACTTCTTCCCTGCCTATGCCAGCCACCCGCTTCGTCCCGACAAGGCCTAGTCACCCTCCAGGTCTCATCAGATGCGCGTGCTCCAAGTAGAGAGGCCGCGTCACTCACCTCAATCTGTCATACTCCACTGTATTCACATACCTTTTTTCTGTGAGTGTGTCCTTTCTCTCACAAGCGGCGGTCCCCAACCACTTTGACACCAGGAACGGGTTTTGTGGAAGACAGTTTTTCCACAGAACGGGTCGACTGGGTGACGCCACCTCAGCTCCACCTCAGAGCATCAGGCCGCGTGGGCTCATGGGTGCCCCGCATGCGCAGTTTGCAGTGGGGTTCGCGCTCCTGTGAGGCTCTGATGCCGCTCACCTGACGTGGGCCCAGGGCTCCCGACGGTGAGTAAGCGACGCGGAGCGGCAGTGGGTGCAGGTGGGGCTTCACTCGCTTGCCCGCTGCCTGCTGTGTGACCCAGTTCCTCAGGGACCAATGTGGGTCCGCAGCCCTGGGGGTTGAGGACCGCAGCGTTAGAGACTCTTTCCCCAGCCTTTAAATTCGAGTTCAGCCACGTGACTTTCTTTAGCCGACGGAGTAACGATGTGCAGTTCTGAGCCTAGGCCTTAAGAAGTCTGGTGCATTTATTTCCTCTTGCCGCGTTTGCTTCTGCCACAGCCGTGGGGACATGCTTGCGCTAGCCTGCAGGTCCCAGGAGGAAGATGAGAGGCAGAGAGTTGAGCCACCCAGCCGAGCATCGCCAGCCAAGCCCAGACCAGATCAGCTGTTCTCCAGGTGACCCACGGACACATGAGCGAGTCCAGGAAAGATCTGCAGAGTTGCTTAGCCTAGGTCAGCCAACCTGCAGATACCTGAGAAATTACAAGGGATTCCTGTTTCAAGCCACTGAATATGGAGGCAGTTTATTATATAGCAGTAGTACTTTTTCCCATCATAGAAATTATAAACCTTATTAAAATCCTTGGATTACTTCTCTTTTGAGGATTGTATATTCTGATACAATTTAAACTGTGCCTATCTTGCTGCCTATATTATTTCAAGTTTTAGCACAGTGTGTTGGTACACAATGGATACCTATTAAATAAGTAATTGTTGAATGAATATCTTATCTTTGTATAACATTTTTTCAGTCCCTCTCTCTAGTCCTAATAGCAAACTGCCCATCTACACTTTCAAAGCCCTCCCGCACTAGGTACAGCATTTAAACCTGAAAACAATCTGCAAAGTAGATTATGCTTATTCAATCACATGCTAGACGGAATGTGAATACAAGGCGCTATTTTGCTCATCTATTATTGTTTGATCTCATTGTGGTTTTATAGTCAGTACTAAACAGATGGATGAGGGTTTACAAGTAAAGCTTATTTTTACATTTGGCATCATATTCTCAGTTCCTCTAAATCTCTCCAACCTGTACAAATTAAATTTAAAGCACCTAAGTGGACACATAGGAACTACAGTAATTGGGTATTGGGCAGGTGGGAGGGGGAGAGGGGCAGGTATATACATACATAATGAGTGAGATGTGCACCGTCTGGGGGATGGTCACGCTGGAAACTCAGTCTTGTGGGTCGAGGGGGGAAAGGGCATTATTTGAAACCTTAAAATTTGTACCCCCATAATATGCTGAAATTTAAAAATAAATAAATAAATAAAGTCAGTCTTTGAATACATGCAAACCTGTTAGGAATTAAGATCCTGTCCTGCTGTAAATGGTTATTGGAAATCTGAATACACTAGTGAAAATTGTGCTGAAATAGTCATCAAAGAGCCCATGGCATGCACCTGTTTCCACATGGTGCTTTGGAAAAGAGGGAAATACAGAGAATTCAACAATCCCTTGTTAATTCCTTGTGCCTTCATATCACATCCCAACTCTTCGCTTACACTGAAAGTTCATAATTGTAAGCATTTGGCATTGTTGAGGGCTCAGCTACCATGAACTAAGAAAAAATGGAGATTTGACTCAAGCCCATCTCTTTTTGGTTTTGGCTTTTTTTATTATTCTAGTAACAATGTGAGTGAATACCTTATCTTTGTAAAATATAGATATATGATACATAATGTCACTGCACTGTACAATCATTTAGCCCATTTTTGCTGCTACATGATCACCAAGTCCTTAACCTCTAGGCCATTTAAGATAGAAGAGAAATGATTATTTCTGAGAGGAACACCGCTATTACCTACCAGTGGAGAGCCATACTTTCTTCTTTGCTATAGACTGTACTGCATGGTCTGTCTCCCATGAAAAGTGAACAAAAAGTATCTGTTATGCTAGAGCAGGGGTCCCTAACCTATAGTGAGTTGTATAATTATTTCATTATGTATTACACTGTAATAATAGAAATAAAGTGCACAATAAATGTAATGCACTTGAATCATCCCCAAAACATCCCCTCATCCCTGTTCCATGGAAAAATTGTCTTCCGTGAAAATAGCCCCTGGTACCAAAAAGGTTAGAGACCACTGTGCTAGAGCATTCCAGTCAACCTTGAAGAATAAAACTTTCTTGATATAACCACTAACACCAGACACAGGCTAAAGAGAAAAATCATTACCAGATCATTCCATGAGGCAGCTCTCTATTAAAAGATGAACACATCCTAGGCCGGGCGTGGTGGCTCACGCCTGTAATCCTAGCACTCTGGGAGGCCGAGGCAGGCGGATTGCTGGAGGTCAGGAGTTCAAAACCAGCCTGAGCGAGACCCTGTCTCTACTAAAAATAGAAAGAAATTAATTGACCAACTAAAAATTTATATACAAAAAATTAGCCGGGCATGGTGGCACATGCCTGTGGTCCCAGCTACTTGGGAGGCTGAGGCAGGAGGATCGCTTGAGCCCAGGAGATTGAGGTTGCTGTGAGCTAGGCTGACACCACAGCACTCACTCTAGCCTGGGCAACAAAGTGAGACTCTGTCTCAAAAAAAAAAAAAGAAAGAAAAAAAAAAAAGATGAACACATCCTTAGCATTAGTCAAAAAGGGAGGTCTTGTTTCTAAAAATCTCTATTGCAAAACCTATAATCTTATTTTTTTTTTAAAGAAAAATCTTCTTGAAACATATACATAAGGCTAAAGGGGGGAGAAAAACTTCAAACTTCACCTCCTGGAGGAATATCAGCCCCTCTTGAACTATCTGGTGTGGTTCTTTTAGTAAATGGCCAACGATATCACAAAGTGTATGAATTGGGAACAAACTTGTCCTACATGCTCAATTCTTACCAGCTAGGGAGTTGTAGAAATAATTAAGATTCTATTGTCCTAAGTTTTGCATCTATATTTTAAACAAGCCCCCTCATAGTTCTGATGGAAACGGTCTGTGGACAGTGCTTTAGAAATGTCTTTAGCCCTGTCTTGGAAGCAAAACAAGAAAATGAAGCTTCTCCTCTCCCTAGCCCTCCCATGATAACTTCTGTGGAACCTGGAAGTAATAATAAAATGTATGTCATTGTGTGAGTGTGAGGAATAGACTAGATAACGCATATGACAATTCAGAAATTCACCTCACCTGTCGAAGGCTCTTAATAAATGTTACTATTATTAAGGCTTTTATGCATGGTTGATTCCCAAGGCAGAAGCAAGCCTCCAATTCTTCCTTCCCTGTATGTGAGAAGGTAAAAACAGACTGGAATTGAGATCTGTTTTTCCCTTTCCCTCCTTTGCGTTGCAAACTACTTGTAAATCTTGGTTTTGTTCAAAATTTTTTTCAAATAAAGCCTCTTCCTAGGAGTTCCCTTAGCTTCCTCTGGGCCAGCTTCCCCCTCTCTGAGGTTAGCTGGGCACTCACACTTACTTCCAATGCTGGGCTTGTTGCATGGTACCAGAGTACTCTGCTGACGTGTCTGTCTTCCCACTGGATTGTGCAGTTTCAGAGCAGGGACCATTATTTCTCTAAATAAATACTTCTGGGCATCTACCCACACCTCCCAGTTGCCCAGTGCAGCACCTGGGACCCAAAGGTGCTCAGTAAATGTTCAGGGAAGAGTGGAGGAACAGAAAGGGACACTTAGACTAGAAAGACAGGACATGATGACCGGTCTAGCAATGCCAAAGGAAGCAGGACATTTGAAAAGTTCAAGCAGAAGAGCCAAAGTCTATGTTCAGAACCTGAAGAAAGGCATACATCAATGTAGGTCTCAGCACAGAAGTGAGGCTGTTTAGGAGTGGGGGCTCTGGAGCCAGCCCACCCGAGTGTGGAACTAGACTCCACCCGTACCAGCTATGTGACCTTGGACAACTGAGTCACATCTCTGAGCCTCCATTTCCTCATTTCCAGAATGAGAATAATCCTGCTACTCTCACAGGATTCATGTGGGGGTTAAACAAATTAAATAATAATAGGAATTATGTGCACGTAGTTAAGTGTTCTATAAATGTTAACTGCTGCTGTTGCTGTTGTTGTTACTAGTGGAATAAATTACAGCTTTGCAGTCAGACAGACTTGAGTTTAAATTCATGTTCTACCATTTACTAGTGTGTATGACCTTGGGAACATCAGTTACATTTTGTAAACCTCAGTTCCCTCGTCTATAATGTGGCAATAATCCTGTATCAGGAAAATAATACATTAAAAAAACAGTTAGCCCCATGATGCCTGGCACCTACTAAGTGCTCTATATAGGATCATTATCATTAAGGCAGTCAACACACAAAGCTCAAACCAAGGAAGGGACAAGAGTGGAATCCAGACAATTTAGAACAGTGTCAAACCAAAGTCACCATTTCAGACCAAAGAAATGGTGTCCTAGGTCTATTGAAAGAGGCCTACCCCACATAATGCTTGTGAACAAGAGCCTGTACATGACTGCCACTTCCCAGAGTGAAGCAGGACACTTCAGGGAACTGACATCCTGCCCCATATCCCAGATCAGGCATATTTTGTATTCCCACAGCTCATTGTATTTCCTCTATCTTGTTCTCAACTTAAAGTATCTATTTGGGTGTCATTGTCTTGTCTCATATCCTTGGCACCCCTATACCTGTCATACTTAAGGAACCTAATAATGTTCGTTGAGTTGGCACTGACAGGTAAACAGCTCTAACAGATACCTGGTTGCTCTAAAAAGTCTCAACCCCAACACTTGGGGTCAGTATCCCTCAATTTAATTCTTATGTCTGCATTCACTTGTATCATTTCTTTTGCTTTAAGAATTTTAGAATTATCTCATCCCAATTACAAAGGAAACTGGTTTCACATCCTCAGCTTTATACGGCAGAAAATGTCTGAGGTCCACAAACCTAAGAGAAAGGTCAAGCTGCCTTATCTTCCCTTCTCACCTCCACCTTTTGCCCTCTGAACAAAAGTTTCTACAAAATCTCTCTGGTACCAAATTGACTATTTTAAAGAATGGCTATTTTTAATAAAGTTTTTGAGTTAATCTTCCCAAAGAAGAGGGGGGAAAGACACATGTTTTCATAATCATATATACACACACTCCAAGAAAACTTAGTTCCTGTTAGTGAGGCCGATCTCTGTGTGTTTGCGAAAACTCAATTTGCAGCCGGGGAAAGTGATATTTATTTGAAGGAGCTTATTGCCGAAAGTGAATCATAAATCTGCTGGCTGTTGAGACTTCAAGGCAGGAAGAACAGAGGCAATTATTAGTCTGAATGTTCCACTGACGATATGAAATCTTTGTCTTTCAAAGCATTTGTTTAAGTAAGAAAAAGTTTGCCCAGCCTGGAGAATGTTCTATTGTGGGAAATGAAACTTCTGAAACCTCCAAAGCTTATTTATATATTTGCTAGGCTTCTCTCTGCCAACTTTCTCCTCTCCCAGGGCGTCCGTTAATGCTAAGAAAAGCCTCCGAAAAGCACACATTATAAGCAGAGAAAAATCTTAATGAATGTAATATATTTGGCAAATCTGTTTTATCTACCAAGGAGATTTCCTTTCTCTTTTCATCACTCATCTCTTTTCTTTCTCCTTTTTTTTTTTTAAACAGTGTTATTCGTGATCCATCCTTCTTCCTCTGGAGCTTATTTTTCTGTTCCCCCAAAAAATAAAAATAGAAACTCAATCTCTTGTCTTTCATTCTCTTGCTGCTATTTTCTATTTCTTCCTACCAATTCAGTTTTCTTTCTTATGGGAAGAAAGGGA